GTTCATTAGTGCATATATCAGACTGAAGAGAAACTATGGAGATCTCTTTTATACTTCTCTGATAGTGCTTTTGTCTGTGTCTTTAAGGAGATGCTTATCAGATTTTCATATGACACACAGAAGGAAGGATAGCTAATATGAAGGGTGATAGGATATTACTACTAGTAATGACAAACACTGAGTACTTGCAATGTGCTATGACTGTGTCAAATACACAACATTTTCACATTTAAACTGTACCACCCTGTGAGGCAGGTAGTAATATTATCTTTATTTTAGAAATGAGGAAACATGCTTTAAGCGATCAAGTCATTTGATACAGCTCAAGATGATGCTGCTCATGGAGAGGTAGAGGAACAAAATTCTAAATCCAGGTACATCTAGCACCAGAGTCTGAACTAAACAATTCTAAGTAATTTTGACACACAGCTATGAGCTTAAATCCATATGATATCATAGGGCTTAACACGTGCATTATAATTCTATTGCATAATCAGGTATTGGGCTGATCTGATCTACCATATCCACATAAATGATCTAGGAGTTTTAGTTGACCACAGGCTCCAAAGAGAAAACAATGAAGAGACTTAATTAAATTTTGTCTCTATTCATAGATGTACAGTGTTAAATCAAGACAGCAAACTGCTGGCTGTGTGATCAAAACACATTTTAAGATAAATCAGAGAAAGTTAACAAGATAGAGCCAGAAACCATGTTATATGAAAAATGGATTAAAAAAAAACTGCTGAGCAGGCCTAAACCATCATATATTTAAGGAGCAGTCAGATAAAAAAGGCGGTTTTCCTCTAAAAAGAGAACGGAATATGTGGGTGGAAGTTATAAAGAGCCACACTTTGGCTCTATTTAGGGAAGAACTTTCTAACTATTGGAACTGTCTAGAAATATAATGGGCTGCTTCTCTGAGCGTTCAGTTTGCTATTGCTACAAGAGTTTAAATAGCCTGGCTGAGCCCTTATTATGAGGACGATGGGAGCCGAGAGGAAAACAGAGGCCACGTAAGCTCCTTCCCAAATCCAAAATTCTAAAACTCAAACTTAGATGTTAGTTTATCAGAACTTGGTTAATGGTTCTAGTGAATTTTCATCAAATAATATCAAATAATCCTTACACAGATCCAAATATGTTACAACAATATAGTTTGTTAGGAAGTAGGGGAGTTCCTACTTTAATTCCTAATTTAATTTGAAGCTACCTGAATTTACATATGCACGATCTAATTGGCAAAGACCCATCCATATCAGAATAAGAAGATAAAACTTATCACCTTTGGTTATAGTACACAGTTAAGTCTCCTGGCCACTTAACGCTGTCTTTTGACACCACAGAATTAAGAGATTTATAGTTCTTTATAAATACCTTTACTCCTAAGTACATATTATACTGCTTTCATTCAGTCTTGACCGTTTGGTTGAGTTAGGGTAAAACGGTGCAATTAGATTATTGCTACTCCAGAAAGCTATTTTGAAGTGTGCTTGACAAAAGCTGATCTTGCCCATGCAGAAACAAAGGAATTCTCTGGCTTATTAGAAAGTTTGCGCTCAAATCTTGTTTTTCTTTTTTAATCAGAGCTGTTCTTGCCTGTGTGCCAGCGCCATCTAGTGATGAAGTGAGCACATTTTACAGCCAGAGAGAAAAACCCAGTTTTGTACAATCTGTGAGGGACCATCAGTCAGTCCTTTCTGCATCCCAGAATATTTGGATTGGAAGAAACCTTGGCGGGAAGGGGGAGAGGAGCAAACATTTAATATCTCTGTATCATCCAGAATGGCCTTTCCCAATATCCTAACCACAGATATCAATTTTTAGTTTAGTTCTCAGATTAAGCATTAATCCAACAGGCTGAGGCAGAAATCTTCTTCTATTAATAAAATGAAATCCTCTAGGACAAACTAAAATAAATGAATTAAATAGGAGGGATCACAGTGATTTTTCCTTTCTATTTTCTTTTAGTTTCACTTCTTTTCGGAACACATGGCAGGTTAAGACATGCAAAGGCATTTGACTGGAGACCTGTGGAAATGCTCAGAAATAGCCTCAGGGAGTGAGACTAGATCTGAAATGAAAGGGTGAGATAGGAAAATGCACAATTACTCTACGGTAGAGGGTAAGAACTTAATATTTTTCAGGGCAATGATTTTTGAGAAGTTGTTGCTGGCAGATCTTTTTCAGTTCCATGCTAATAACAAGACTTTACTTAAAATCATTCCATATTTAAGCACTGGGCTTTGAAGAGAAGGATATATGCATTCTTGTTCCAGTTTTAGGATTACTTAGGATTGGGGATAATATTAAGAATATTCTATCAAATAAAAATATTATAAACATGAGATAAGCATCATCCCAAATACTAAATGTACTTGGGGGAGTTTGGTAGATGATTACTAAGATCCCTTTTCTCTTCTGAGAGTTTCCTAATCTGGGATGAGGCCATCCACAAGATCGATAAGGACTGCCTTTGTGCAAGGGGGACCTGCACAGAGGACCTGGGGGTTGGCAGTGTAAGAGACTCCTTGTCTCTTTAGTTCCACAGGTGAGTCAAAGCAAGGTGATCTGGACCAGCGATCTAATCATTCATTATTCTCATCTGCTTCTCGTTCCTTGCATTCTTCAAATGGTTTGCATATTTACTTTATATCTTTGTCAAGTCTTACACATGGCTCTCTTTTTAGTACTCTCCAGTAAATGAAGTTTCTCAAAGGCAGGGAGTTTATCTTTTGCCCCCTATATCTCTAGGCATCTTGGCACTGACATATCTGAGCCCAACATTTGATTTGTCTCTTCGTGACACTAAATCCTGGACCGTGAGATCTGGCATCGACCTTGGAGGTCACCCTGTCCAATTATTTCATCTTTTTGATGTGAAACCGAGGTCCCAAAATGGGATGTGACTTTCTAAATATCCCTCAGCTAGTTAGATGAATCGGCCCCTCAGTCTCCTGACTGTTCTAGACATAAACATGGCATCTCGAGCTTCTCTCTCATGATGGCAGAGAGTACATGCCTCCCCTCCCCCAGCTGGAAGCAGGTAGCTGCCAACAAGAAACTGTTTGAAACAGTACGTGAATATTGCCTTCTCATGCATGTGAATATTGCTTTCTACTCCATAATATATATGTATGTTTTAACATTAAAACATTAGTGGTTTTTTTTTTTCTAATAAGGAAAATTGGT